GTCGCCCAGACCGGAGTGCAGCGGCCGCTCCCGGCCACCGCAGCCTCGGCCTGCCGGGCTCCGGCGATCCCTCCGCCTCAGCCTTCCGAGTAGCCGGAACTACAGGCGCGCGCTACCACGCCCGGCTGATTTTTGATTTGTTGTAGAGACGAGGTCTCGCCAAGTTGCCCGGGCGGGTCTCGAACCCCGGGGCTCAGGCAATCCACTCGCCTCGGCCTCCCCAGGCGCGGGATGACAGGCTGAGCCACCGAGCCCGGCTGGTCTGCTGTGATTTGAGGGGTGACCCGTGCTTCCCTATACCCTGCCTCCCCTGCCCACAAGTACCTCCTGCTTCCCCAGACGGTGAATTCCTGGGAGTCCTGCTAAAACCAGTGGTGCTAAAAACCAGTTCTTCGGAAGCCCCGGAGTGCCCCCAGGGTGGCTGATAAAATTATAGTCCCTCTGAACCCATGGACTCAAGCAAGGGCAACTGAAACTCTCAGGGGTCTCCGGTTTCCACCCGCCGTGTGGGGGGATTCCTTGTGTATTCGAGGAAACCCTTGGGGTTGATGTGCCACTCGGACGGGATGGGACGTGTGAGGCGCACGGGGCGGGGGGGGGCTGGTGGCAACAGTAATCAGAGAAAGGTGTGGCTGTCTCGATCTCCCCTTGAGGGACTTGCAGCTGCTAGATGGTGGTCACCCAACCGCCGGAGGGGAGAGCTCAGAGGAAGACAAGGTGTCTGGTCCCCCAGGCTGGACCGTCTCGGGCTTAGGGGCACCCTCTGTGTTGGCCCTCAGAGAAGCGGGGTGGGTGGGAGGACTCAGACCCCTCGGATGCATCCCGTTTTGCATTTCTCTGTCACAGACCACATTTATGTCTTTATGTTTGTTTGTTTGTTTATTTTTGAGTCAGTGTCTCACTCTGTCGCCCAGGCTGGAGCGCAGTGGCACGCTCCCGGCCCCCGCGGCCTCGACCTGCTGGGCTCAGGTGATCCTTCCGCCTCAGCCTTCCGAGTAGCTGGAAGCACAGGCACGCGCCACCATGCCCAGCTGGTTTTTTGATTTATTGTAGAGATGAGGTCTCGCCAAGTTGCCCAGACTGGTCTTGAACCCGTGAGCTCAGGCCATCCTCTCACCTCGGCCTCCCAAAGTGCAGGGATGACAGGCGTGAGCCACCGCGTCTGACCATATTTATTTTTTTGAGTCGGGGTCTTACTCCATCACGCCGGGTAGAACGCAGTGGCGTGACTATGACTCATCGCAGCCTTGACCTTCTGGGCTCAGGTGATCCTCCTGTCTCAGCTTCTCGAGGAACCGGGACTACAGGTGTGCAGCACACCTGACTAATTTTTTAAAATTTTCTTTAGAGATGAGGTCTCGCTATGTTGCGCAGGCTGGTCTCAAACTCTCAGGTTCAAGCCATCCTTCTGCCTCAACCTCCCAAAGTGTTAGGATTACAGGTGTGAACCACCATGTCTCGCCACAAATCATTTTTTTTTTCTTCCTAGCAGGAAAATGGGGCCTTCAGGCCCTCAAGCCCTAAACACCAAGCCAAGCCCTCCACCTGACAAGGGTACAGTGGCTAGTCTTTGGTGCTTGATGAAAGCCCCATCCTCAGGCCTGATGCTCTGAGCATCCTTGACGTTGGGCCAGCGGCTGGGAATTGGGTGAAGCTTGACTCCCATGCACCCATTCTCTGCAGTGCGGCTTCTCTTCATCTGTTGTGTTTTTTCCAGCCAAATCTTTGTTTTAAGCCCTGTGAGTCCTTGCTGTTTGTTCAGAGAAGGTGGCCAGACCCCATCTGGACAATCGTGCCTCCTGAAGCCTTCCCTGATTCCCCCATCCCCTCGGACTCCTCCTCCTCCCCACATCTGGAGCATGGGTCTCTGGTCTTCGCTGCTGGCCCTACTCAGCCCCATCCCACCCCCCGCAGAGGAGGCTGCGCCGCGCTCACTCTTTTGCCCCCGTTGGAGTCAAGGACACCTTGCACGTGCTTTCACTCCCCTCCGAAGACCATGGGACTTTGGAGCTGGGGGCCTTGAGGCCCTGGTGCGTCCACTTAGTGCGCACTCAGACGAGCTCTCTTCCTTCCCACCTCAGTCTCCTCCGTTTAAGCCTGAAGCAGCCACAGTGATAGCAAATGAATGAAAGGCTTCTTGTGAAAAGAAAGAAGGATTCAGGCCGGGGCCGGTGGCTCAGCCTGTCATCCCAGCACTTTGGGAGGCCGAGGTGAGGGGATGGCCTGAGCCCGCAGATTTGAGGCCAGCCTGGGCGACTGGGCGAGGCCTCGTCTCTACAATAAATCAGGCGTGGTAGCGCGCGCCTGTCGTTCCAGCTACTCGGAAGGCTGAGGCGGAAGGATCGCCGGAGCCCAGCGGGTCGAGGCTGCGGTGGCTGTGAGTGTGCCACTGCACTCCAGCCTGAGGGACGGGGTAAGACTCTGACTCAGAAAAAGAAGGACTCAGGGGAGGGTGTGTCCCGAGGTCACGCGTGCCACTGGCCTGTCGCCATCCTGATACTTCCGAGTCTCTGCAGGCTGGGGAACTGATGGGTCCAGATTTCTCCTGTGGCCTGACCTCCTTTTTTCTCGTTCCCCGCAGACTTTAAGTTCGCCATGTACCCGCCCTCGATGATCGCAACTGGCAGCGTGGGCGCGGCCATCTGCGGACTCCAGCAGGATGAAGAAGTGAGCTCGCTCACCTGCGATGCCCTGACGGAGCTGCTGGCCAAGATCACCAACACAGACGTGGTAGGTGGCCACCGTCTTCTTGCTGGAGACCCGATGTCTCTTCCCGGCACAGGGAAAGAGACCACTGGGTTGATGACGGCATGCCAGTTTGGTTTCTGTCTTCGAAGCTTGACCTCCAAGGTAGTACGGCATCCGGCAGGTAATGCTGCCTCTTAAGAATTTGAAAGCTTGTGTGTCACAAAATACAGGGAAGAGCCGGGCTCGGTGGCTCAGCCTGTAATCCCGCCCCTTTGGGAGGCTGAGGTGAGTGGATTGCCTGAGCCCGCGGGTTCGAGACCCGCCCGGGCAACTTGGCGAGACCTCATCTCCACAATAAACAAAATTGAGCTGGGCGTGGTAGCGCGCGCCTGTAATTCCAGCTACTCGGAAGGCTGAGGCGGAAGGATCGCCGGAGCCCGGCAGGTCGAGGCCGCGGTACCCGGGAGCGGCCACGGCACTCCAGTCTGAGCGACTGAGTGAGACTCCAACTCAAAAAAAAAAGAATTTGAAAGCTTGTGTCACAAAATACAGGGAAGAGCTCAGCAGGCAGACACAAGGGGGGCGGATAGGGGAGGGCTGTGTACCAGTTTTCGCCTGTGGCGTGGGCTTCCCCGTGGGTTGAGTTGCTGCCTCGTTTCTGTATTAGTACGTGTTATCGGGCTGCCCCTGCCCCACAGTTGCTGGGTCTGCTCACTTGCTAAGGCTGTAAGGCACAGAGAAGAGAGGAGTCGACCGCAGTGGTCGGGGCAGAGACACAAGAGGTCCCGCTACAAGGGTGGCGTCTGTCCGTAGAACCCCTCTCAGCTCAGCTCCTCCCAGGTCTGTCTTCCCTTTTGCTCAGTGTGCTAATGGATTTAAAAAGCACTTTTGAAAGTAACCCGCCACCTGGGTGCGGTGGCTCATGTCTGTAATCCCAACACTTTGGGAGGGAGGCCAAGGCAGGAGGATCACTTGTATCCAGGAGTTCGAGACCAGCCTGGGCAACATAGCAAGACTGTCCCTGATAAAATAAAATGAAAAAAGTAAAGTGCCACACAAATTCAAGAAAAGATTATCAGCTATGGATTTTGCCCGTTCCGTGTGCCCCGTGGATGGCCCAGAGGCGGTTACCTCTGGTTGCCAGAATTTGAGGCTCCTGAAAAGAGGTTTGAAGACAGTCCCAGGTCAAGTGAGACCCTCGATCCAACTGGTAGGAAACTGAAGTCCTGGGGGGTCTGAGCCAGGATGATTCCAAGAGGTCAGAGGGGCAATTGCCGCATCTTCCAGGGGCTGCCCAGGAGACTGGAATCACCAGCCTGGGGGAGGGAGCAGGCAGTGGCAGAGCTGGAACTAGAACCTCCCAGCTCTGGCTCCAGCCTGGGAATCTGACACTTCACCCTTGCTGCCCCTCCTGGGAGCCTTTGGGGCTGAAAAAGGCCTTTGGTTGAAACGTGGCTCACGCCTGTAGTCCCAGCACTTTGGGAGGCCGAGGCAAGAGGATTGCCTTAGGCCAAGAGTTCAAGACCAGCCTTGTCTCTACAGTAAATAAAAAAATTAGCCGGGTGTGATGATGCATGCCTGTAGTTCCAGCTACTTGGAAGGCTGAGGTGGAAGGATTGCCTGAGCCCAGCAGGTCGAGGCTGCAATGGCTGTGGGTGTGCCTCTGCACTCCAGCCCGGGCAACAGTGAAACTCCACTTCAAAAAAAAAAAAGGCAACTCAAGAGAGTGGTGGCTCTGAGATCGTCCCTCCAGTACCACATAGAGGCTCACAAATGTAGAGAACCTCATGGTGAGACCCTCTAGCGTTCCCCGGGGGATTCAGAAAGCCCTGCAGGAATTTACTGAGTTAAGGGGTCATGTGACATGCAACCCTGTGGTTAAGGCCTTCATGAAGTTTGCTGAGCAGAATGTTAAACCTCAGAGAGCCTGAGACTGCAGTTCACTGCTTTCTCACCTGCCACCTGTCAGAGAAGGGCCGGACAGTGCCAATCCGGGCTCCTCTTCTGATGTACTTTTAAAATGCTGACTCCAGCTGGGTGCAGTGATTCGTGCCTGTGATCCAAGCACTTTGGGAGGCTGAGGCAGAATGACTGCTTGAGCCCAGGAGTTCAAGACAAGCCTAAGCAACATAGTGAGACCTCATCTTTACAAAAAATAAAAAAATTAGCGGGTGATGGTGGTACACATCTGTTAATCCAAGTATTTTGGGCAGCCAAGGTGAGAGGATTACTTGAACCCAGGAATTGGAGACCAGCCTGAGCTATGTTTCGCTGTGTTAAGTGAAACCTCATCTCTACAAACACACACACACACACACACACACACACACACACACAAAATTAGGTTGGCATAGTGACTCACGCCTGTAATCCCAGTACTTCGGGAGTCTGACATTTGAGACCAGCCTGGGCAACATAGTGAGACCTTAACTCTACAAAAAATGAGCCAGAAGTGGTGATGCACACCTGTAGTCCCAGCTACTTGGGAGGTTAAGGCAGAAGGCTCGCCCAAGCCCAGGAACTTGAGGCTGCAGTAAACTGCGATCGTGCCACTGCATTCCAGCCTGGGCAATGGACCTCGACTCGGATAGATAGATAGATAGATGGATGTAGACAAAATGCTGGCTCTAAAACACACACTTTTTACACGAGGGCTTCAAAATACAGATTGAAAAGACCCTTGGAGCAAAACGTGAAGAATGCTTTTCTGTCCTCCAGAGAGAAATCGTGGCCCAAACTTAACACCTCTGGAAGGGGGAGGTTTCCTTTCTTTTTTGAACGTCTCTGTGAAGGCTGCCTTACAAATAGGGCTCCCCCGTAGTTGAAGACAGGCCCTTTCTCGAGTCCTGGAGACACAAAGTTCAGGGGAGTGTGACCCTCCAGACACTGTAACCTCTTTCAGATATCTGCAGACCTGTTCGGATGGGCTGACCACCCTATCTGGTCTCCAACCTCTTCCCACATTGCTTTGTCCCCCTGTGCTAGTTTCTCATGGACAGAATTAACTCCCGAAGGTTGCGACTAAGGCTCTCGGCTTTTCAGGGCTGCAAACCGGTTTGTCATCTTGCACTGAAGAAACGTGCGTCTGTTTCGGGTTTTTTTTTTTTTTTTTTTTGAGTTGGAGTCTCACTCTGTCGCCCAGACTGGAGTGCAGTGGCCGCTCCCGGCCACCGCAGCCTCGACCTGCTGGGCTCCGGCGATCCTTCCGCCTCAGCCTTCCAAGTTGCTGGAACTACAGGCGCGCGCTACCATGCCCGGCTAATTTTTGATTTATTGTAGAGATGAGGTCTCGCTGCCCAGGCAGGTCTCGAACCCGCGGGCTCAGGCAATCCACTCACCTCAGCCTCCCAAAGGCGCGGGATGACAAGCTGAGCCACCGAGCCCGGCTTCAGGTTCTCTGCAGCGAGTCCACTCAGGCCAGCTGTCAGACTGGGGTCTGTGGACACAGAGCTGTCCTGACGTGTCCTCCTGTAAGTCCCGGCTATTGAGTTGCTACCTCATTTCTACAAGGGGCGCCCACTGTTTTTCTTAATTGGGGATTCGTGGACATGCCTCATTCACACCAGTGGGCCCGGGGTAAACATTTTAATATTACAAATCAAGCTCAGGGGCTGGGTGCCGTGGCTCATGCCGGCAACCCCAGCACTTTGGGAGGTCAAGGCGGGAGGACTGCCTGAGCCCGGGAGTTCAAGACCAATAGGAATCGGAAAAGCTGAGAGTTTCCCCCGGAGCCCCTGAAATCCCGCACTAGCTCCCGCACCCCTTGTTTGTGATGCCTTCAGACTTAGCAGTGTTCTCTGTCCCTCTGGGTGAGAGGCCACGGATCGCCGGGGCCAGGCTGTTGAAGGACAGTCCCCTGGATGCGGGCGAGACGGCCAGACGCAGATAGCTTTGACAGGGGGCACCCACGCAGCTCCGAGAAAGCCGGCCTTTGTTGCGCCGTCTGGTTGCCAAAATAAACCGGAACGCTTCATTCAAAGAGAAAGCTGAGTGAGGAGCCTGACAGTTTTACAGGGAATAAAAGTCTCAGAGGGTGGCATAGTTTAAGTGCTTTTCCCTCCTAGTCCTGAGAGTTGCCGCTAACATCAGACCCCCGCCGGAGAGGCAGTTCTGGTCTCTGGGGAGAGAGACTTCTGCCGGGGCGTCCAGTGCCCAGGGCGTCCAGTGGCCAGGGCAGGCTGGGGGGGAGGGCGCCTGGGGCCCCCGTGACCCCTGCCCGCTTCCTCGGCCGCATCGGGGACCCCCTTCCGTCCCCTCTGTGCTCTGCTCGGGCCCCGGGCCAGCGTTTATCTCACTGCTTCCTTGTCTGTAGAACTTCTGGAATCAGACCCAGCTTTTCCTCTGCTCTTTATCCAGAGCCCCTGGCCGAGGGGTGGGAGTGAGTCTGAAGAGAGGGAGGGCGGGCGGGAAGGAGGAAGGGAGGCCCCACGGACAAAGGGCAGACAGACACACAGACACACGCAGGTTTCCTGTGTGTTCCCGACTCACAGGCCTCCCCCCTCGGCCCCGGGAAGCCGTGTCTCTCTTGAGCATGGATTCCAGGCCGGGATCTTCCGAGTCTGCCCTGACGTTCCCTACAGCGCGTCACTTCGTTTTCACATGGCACCGTCTCACAGATCCACTCACGAGAAGGTGGAGCTGAGGCTGACAGCCGCAGCAAGGTTGTGATGTTATTGGAAGGCATTTAACAGGACAGATACAGACAGTAGTCCTCTGGTTGTTTATATGTCCTTTTCCGTCTAGGTGACATCAGCTCTCTTTGTCACATTCTCAAGTATTGTCCCGGGGGCCAGGCATGGTGGCTCACGCCTGTCATCTCGGCACTCTGGGAGGCCGAGGCAGGAGGACTGCTTGAGCCTGGAAGTTCAAGAACAGTCTGAGCAACATAGCAAGGCCTTCCTGCTACAAGAAAATAAAAACAGGCCGGGCTCGGTGGCTCAGCCCGTCATCCCAGCACTTTGGGAGGCTGAGATGAGTGGATTGCCTGAGCCCGCAGGTTCGAGACCCGCCTGGGCAATTTGGCAAGACCTCATTTCTACAAT